TATTTTAAATTTGTAAAAGGCTATTCGGGTATTGTTGGCAATAAAGAGGCTGATAGATTAGTATTATTAGGTTCAAGGAAAAAAAAATATAAATTAGAGTTTGAGTTTCAACCTGTAATCAAGAAAGATTTAATAAAGAATTATTTTTAAAACAAGAATCGAACAATGAATAAAAAAAAATCATGAAAATGATATAAACATGTTTGCTATGACAATTTGTAGTGAGGCCAGAACTGAGTCTCTATATTTGTAAAAGCACCACATATCGACATAAGAACAAGTTTCATATCACTGCTACAGCACAGCAATCAATTCAATATGCTATAAGCAATTGTGCATAGAGAATTTAAAGTTTGCTTGCAAACTTTGCCACTGAATGAGGCCAGAGTCTGGAGTAGCCGATTGACACCCCAGTAGTTGTTTGTTCAAATTTTTTAAATGATTTTTCTGCATATGTATACAGCATTATTTATTTTACTAAATTTTATTTGAAAGATAATGAGATTATTTTTGTCATAATTTTTGCAAGATTAATAAAAATTTAAATTTTAATATATTATTCAAGAAAAATTTTAAATTGAATTTAATTAAGATGTGTCTATAGTAAACAAGCCCACCTATGATAAGTTGGAACTAGGTGAACTAGCTCTATAATAAGTTGGAACTAGATAAACTAGCCCCAATAAAAATTTATCTTTTAATAAAAATGTAATAAAATTACATAATGAGTTTAATTTTAATGATTTTATTATTGTATATTAAACTCATTTCTTCAGTATGAAAATTTATTGCCACTTTATATCTCTTTAAAAAATTACAACTGATTAATCTAATTGTATTTTTTTCAATTTTAAAGATGATTGGAAGTTTGATATTATTATTAAATATAATAAGTGTTTTGCTAAAATATTTTATAAATACTTTATTGAGACCAACTTCTTGAACATATTCTTCATTTTTTAATCTTTTCAATGTTAAATTATTTTTTTTAATATCTTTTTTATTCATAAAACTCATACCATCACAACCTGTATCTATACAAATTCTATATTCTATCAAATTTCTGAAATTTTAGGTAGGTGTGAAGCATTAGATAGAAAATATCTGATAAGGCAACTTGATAGTAATTTAGATTCTTTAAAGGCTTATGAAATTGTACCTGGGGCAAACAAATATAAACTACCTGTTTACAGATGGCCATCACACTGGAACTAGTTCATCTAGTTTCAACTCACCATGGGGCTAGTTTACCTAGTTCCAACTTATCATAGGTGGGCTCATTTACTATAGACATATCTTAATTAAATTCAATTTAAAATTGATTTATAAAAATAAAGTTATTGAATAGAAGAAATAAATTTAATATGAATAAAATTTATATAAATAAACTTAGTTATCTATAAACAATAAAATTTAAAAGAATAATACTATAAAACTCTTCTCGTAAATCACTTTTACCAAAATAGGAACAAGAAGAAAAACTTTCCTGTAAGATTATTTCAAAAACCTACTAAGTAAACAGTTATTTGGCTCTTAAGTAAATTTACTCAGGCCCTCTAGTTGTACTTAAAAAAAATGCATTTTCTTTAAAAAGCTTCTTTTTCATCAAGTAAATAGCAATAAACTTTTCAAAAGACAAAAAACTAGTTTTTTTATCCTTTCACGAAAGCAGCTATAAGGATAGCCAACATTTAAACAGCCTCGCTTTAAGTACTACCAACCTGCTATACAAAAATACCAAGAACTACTACAATATCCAAATTACTAAACCTCAGCCCCCAGCAAAAATATGACTTCTGAAAGTTTCTCTTCTTTTTTTAGCTATTTTTCCCCATCCTGAAACCTGCGCAACTTAGTGACAATCTATCTAGTACTATACTACCAATCCCAGAAACAGAACACACAAAAAATTTTATCAAAATTACTATTAAAGATTAGTCCAAACTCATCTTTGTAGTCAACTTCTCCATTCCGGAACATGCCAATGACTTTCTCTTTTATATGATATTACCAAATCAGGAAGAATCCCAAATTTGGCAAATTACCCTCCCCAATAGATCTGCAAACATAAAAATATTACCCAATCAGTTCTTTTCGACCTCATGATACAGAAAAACAACATTGTCAATATTAGTGCCAAATTTCCCAAATCAACCTACACTTGTGACCTTAATACAATTATACAGACCTATGAAAGTAGTATGAAACCATATACTAAGGCTAAAAGTATTCCCAACCTGCCCAGAATCTCATACAATTCTATTACACAAATCGAATATGACAATAAGTCCAACAAAAGCAACAGTAAACACAAACACACCCCTTAGCTCTCAAGGAACTGGTACTACTATACGATCTAGCTAGTAACCAAACAAACACAAGCACAGCTACAAACAATAATACAGACAAAGACACAAACCTCCACCCAACTATCACTATATCCCCAACCAATACCGCTAGTGATACTATCACCACTACCTACCCTACACCCAGACCTAGTATATCTCTAGGCCAAATTACCACACCCAATACTAGTATCAATCATAAAAGAGCTCGAAATATATCACCATTAATTACAACCTTCAACAAGGCTGCCAAAGTGCTTCCTGGTAGCTCTTCTACCACCTCTAGACCTTCTACAAACAACCAGGCTTCTACAACCAAATTATTATACAGCCAAGTCAACAAAACCAACCTCAAATTACTGGCTACTGATACCCCTAACGATATAGAATGGGCTACAATCATATATAGCAGAATTTCCACACTCTCCAACACCCCCTTCAATACAGAGATCTGGATATACGACGCTATTGCAACTGTACTTACTACCCCAGAAGGCATATACAAACTTACCTGCTACAAGCTAACTACTATATCTACTCAATTTAAATTGCCAGAAGCAATCTTCCTAAAATTTGTACACCTTGATACCAGATTCTTTACAACATTTACCCACAACTCCAAAACCACTCCTGCACACCAAAAAGAATATACCAACCTCTTTGATAGAGCCCTTACAGCCTATAAAAAAGATAACAAAATTACACTTACCAATACTACAACCTACAACACTATCCACACAATACTCAAGAGGATGCTCATCCCACAATACATCTCTAACCTTAACTTCGCATATATCTCACCAAGAAATATACAGAGTAATTCAGTATACTAGAGGCTTTCTACAAATCAAAAACTCAGATAAACAGACCCCCAAAGAAATTAAAACCCAAATCAATAATGCATTAAAAAACAAACTAATCCCACTCCCAAATATACCTGACCAAATCCCCACAGAAATCCAAAACATTCTCCCAATTAAGCTTATAATTACACAATAGTCACACAAAAGT